TACCAGTTTTCCTCCGGATTTTTCAGAAGATAAACAGATCAAGGATACGCCCTTAAAAATACTCATAAATTGTATACATAATGAGGCCTCGAATACGCATTTTTCAGCAAGGTATAACAATTTATATCCCCCATGCGCCAGACTGGAAAAATAACAGAAGTTAGAAACGCACAAGCTCCCGTTATGCACACTGCTTTGGTCTAAAAACTTCAATTTTGAACATCACGCACACGAAATATTTTTTCAAACTATTATACAATTAGATGGATAGCAATACACTACAAATACGTCATTCACAGATCTCTTTGGGATAATATTTAGGTCATGATGTCCGTCTAATAACCGGTACATCGAATGTCAAAAAGTTTCACCAATGGAGCCTCATGACCAACGCAAGGGCTGATATTTGCTTCTAATCAGCATTCTTCTTCATCATTATGATTCTCATTAAACAAATCTCGCTTCCGCCCAATTAAGATGACGAACATCGGTTACTATCAGAACTGCTCCATAAAGGTCTAATAGACAACCACTGCACTACTTCAACAGCTACCTCATGCTGTGATTAACAATCACTGCGGTTTCGTCTTTACGCGGCCGATAATTATCAATATACGACAATAGATGGCTAATCATTACACTTACTTGCTTCGGAGGTAGGAAATTTTGCGGTGGAAATTTAACAAAGAATTTGATGACCAAATATCCTTTCTCGAAAGGATTCTTGTACTGTGGCATGCCTTCGCCAGGTACGCATCGACGATCTTCATGCTTGATTACTTCGCCTAAAAATTGTGAACATCTATTAGCATCACTTCAAAGAAAAATCACAAAGCGAAACTAAGAACTCATGATGAAACGAAGGAAAATAAAAAACGACAGATCAGAAATTGAAGATCGAAAACGTTGAAAACGTTCGGGAAAGGGATAAATGAAGACAGGTCGTTCAACTGTATATTGGTAAAGGAAACTATTGAGGACAATAGAAACATAAAGAGAATGCGGGAAAGTTTTCATAGTTAAAACAGAAGACGGAATTTTCATCAGGGACAGACAAAAGATCCTGAAGAGAGTTGAAACTTCTACAGAGAGCTTTAAAAGATAAACTGCAACGACCAAGAAGACGCTAAGTAACCTGAGTAAACAATGAAGTGGAATGAATTTCAGATATCATCCCGGAGAACGTATAACGTGCACAAAAGCAGGTGGAGCAAGAACGTATTCTCGGTGAACACGGTAGAACTCGTGGAATCAGCAGGAGAAGTACTGACAAGAATATTAGTGCGCTTGTATTAAGGCGGCTTGAAGGAAATGAAAACTCCAGACAAACGGACTACCACACCAGTGATTCAACTATACGTAAAAGGAGACTACGGGAATATAAAAAAAACAAGCTGACCAGTTTCATGCCGTCGTCTACAAGATCGTCATCAACGCACTGACAAACAGACTTAAGAAAAAAACTGGACCCTGCGAAAAAAGGAGAAAGCAGATATTCTGGTGAATTTAGTGCAACGGATCAGCTTAGGGTCGTACCGTGAATAAGACCGGCTTTCCCCTCTGCCGCCTGGGATCTGTCAATTTCAAGGCTTTCGACTTAGTCTGCACCTGATCTGTATTAAATGCCCTGAGAAGCCAGAGAATCGAGAAAAGATACCGACTTCATTGCTATTATTACAAAAATGCAATGATTAGCACAAATGTTCACATGAGCACCAACAAATCAGCGTCCGATAAAGTGCAGCGAATTTATTCGCAGTAGCCCTAGAGAAGTATTTCAAGACATTCCGCTGGGAAATCAAGGGCTGAAGATAAATGGACATTAATCAGATCATCGCGGTTCGTCATCGATATTCTGACCAGTAAAAGTTCCTCAGGAAAACATTAGATAAGAATTCAAAAAATGAACGATAACAGAATCGGCGCAGGACTGATAATGGACCTAACGAAGACTCAGATTATACTTAATAGATAAGTAATACCATACTACGCTGAAGATAATGGGAGCCTTGAATAGGTGCAAAATTACGAATAGCTGGCACAGCTGATCTCTGCAAAAGAAAACCAGTTCTGCGAAATCAACTGAAGAGTAAAAATGACCCTTGGAGCTTCTAGAGGATTAAAGATGTTCCTATCTGGGTAAGTATTTTCTGTTAGAAACGGAAAGACTTTGATCAATGTGTGGTGTCCCAGCGGTAACGCATGGATACGAAACACGGACTCCAAGCATGAGAGCCGTTCACAAAATAAGCACGAGAGCCGTTCACAAAATAAGGACTGTTCAACTCAGGATGGAACGGTGAAGATAACAGGAAGAAGACTAACGAATCGCTAAGCGCACAAATAGTGGCTACGATGTCGCTACATGAGCGAATAAGTTCATGTGGAAATGAGCTGGGTAAGCTGCAAGAAAAATGATCGATAGCCGAAATGAAAAGATATTAGATTGAGCAGAAG